TGAACTGAGAGAGCGTGCCGTTCACAGACACCAGAATGAACGAGTTCACAATAACGTTCATCAGGCAGTAATGCAGTACGTTCAGTTCACATTCACCCAAAATATGAACGAATTCATGAACTTTCGTTCAATGAACGCGTTCAGGCATAACACTGGTACTACCTGCCCCAACTCTGAGGGTACAACCCTCCACAGGAGTTGCTAGTTCTCTTCTACATCACTATTATTCAGTCCGTTTTCTCCATAACATCGTCTGTGTGGTATACCTAGTCTAAAAACAGAAGAGATCTGAAGCAATTTTTAAGAAAAGAAAAATTAATTTATCCATAAAGCTGAGAAATCCCAGGCAGGACAAAGCCAAATACAGTGTGCTGTTTTGGATGTCTTTGTTGATATGATCATTCCATACATCAGACTATGTTGCCATTTATAACACTTCCTTCTACTGGTCACTCAACTGCTGTTGCTATAAAAAAAAATGTTTACCATACACACTCTCTGCCTCACTATCCAATGGAGCTATTTTAGCTTTTGTTAAGTTGTTTTTTCCCCACTTTTTCTCTGCATTACCATTTATAACCATAAAATAATAATGCCTCAGCTGGCTCAGTAAAAGTACACAATGACATTCATGTGCTGCTTTGCATGGTTCAAGGATGAATGGGAGTGTGTAGTGGGCAGAATATGGGGAAGAGCCTTGTGCACACAGGTGTGATTTAACCAGGAAATTTGCTTTTTTTTGTGAGTGAGCATGGTTTGGTAAAAATGAAATACATTTTGGATAACACACTTTTGTCTTTTGGGTGTATGTACACTTTTAGTAAAGATCCCATGCAATCTTTGATAAATGAGATCCCTTGGTTTTACCCTGGACCAGGAGGGAGGCCTCCAGAAGGTATCCAAAAAAAGATCCCTGACCCACCACTTGTCAATGTGATGCTCCTCCCTGATGGCCAAACTGATAGCTATTTTGTTTTGTTTGTTTTTTTGTTTTTAAGTTTGTTACTTAAGTCTTAGTGAATAATTTTGAACCACAAGGCTGGCCTTTTTGTGATTTCACCATAGATGTGCAGCATACAGAATAAAAGTTATACCATGTTTGAAATGTATATTGACTCGAGGAAAAAAAAAAATGGAGGGCACCATAGTCACACATAATGATAAAGAGGCAAAAACTGGACTTACAGTTTGGGATTGTGCTGCCATTTTCATGGAGCAGGAAAACTTCTGCTCCAACTCCTCTAAGACTTCTTCAAACAGTTGTTTCTTCTGATCACAGCCTTCATTGCTCTAATTGCCCACATTCCACTGGGCCACATCATTGGTGCCGAAGTTCATATACTTTCCTCCTACCTGCAAACACACATTTTGTATGTCAAAGACAAGTAAAGGAGTCGGACAGAGTGTGGTCGAAAGTGAAGGCGACATACACAGAGTGCATCTGAAGCACACAGTAAAATTCACAAAACCATGTGGATTGTCTTGGCTCATGACATTATGAATCAGCCAACCGCTGCCTTTTGAAACACAACTTTTAAAACCTTTTAGCACTATAACTCAAAATACATTATGTCACCAAAGCTACAGGGCTACTTGCCTTCAAAAACATGAACTTGATTAAAAGCCCATTTTAAAAACCACTGTACTTAATATGTCTGCCAGCCTTTTAAAGCCATAATAGCCTCAACTTTTCTGGAGAGGTTTCTTTATTGCTTTTGAGAAGTGTTTATGGGAATATCTGACAATTCTGATGCTGTTGTTGGACATTTGTGAGTTAATAATTTGTATAATGTGATTCAAGTTGGGAGCCCAGTTACTGAAATATAAACACTTTTCAACAATATCATATCTAGTATATATCTCTATCTAGTATATTAAGCTAAATGGCTTACTACTGAATGAACTTATAAGATATGTCAGTGCATTTTGGGTAATTTGTTTGTGAAAAAAACTTACAAAGAATGCTTTTTTCTGCGCCATAAATGTAGGACTTTTCTTTGAAGTTTGCAAAGTAAATTTTGTTCAGCTCAGCTCCATGCAGATCATCCTGTCATGGAAAGCCGTCCATGGACATTACAAAAACAGATACGAGGAGCTGAATTTAGTTAGGGAATACAATTCCTTGTTTGAGAAACTCCATTGCAAAGAATTTAAGAGGGGATAAAATTAAATGAAGTGGGAATTGAATACAATTTGGCAGAGGAAGGAGGCCATTCAAAGAAAAAAAAACAGCTAAAGAGAGTGAGTTAAGGAAATAAAAACTAAAATCTTACACATGACATCTAAGTCAGTGTGAAAACTGCAAATACAAGTATTCATTACAAAGTTAAAAATTAGATTTAATTTATGTTTAACTATGTTATTTTTATCTGCTAAAAAAGGGTTACTGGTTTACTGATAAAGTAAAGTTAGTCTTTATTGTTAAATCTAAGCGATTACAATTTACAACCCCAGGCTGAATATAAGAGGGACTGAAGCAGGCTGTAATAGTAAAAGTTAAAAATAAGTATGAGCAAAGTCCTTTTCTTCTTGAATAGCAAAAATAGTTAGATAAATTGAAACTTTTTTAAGGAACGCTTAAAACAACAACAAACAGAATAAGAAATATTCAATCGAGAGGTATTGAACAGGATATGCAATGTCTTATTTCCCAGTGGAAAATGTCACTGAGGGAATTCAGTAGTATACATTAACAACAGATTACAGCAACTGCCTAAAAGTTGGCAAGTGATCTGTGAAAGCCCTGATATTCCTCTAAATTACACTAAACTCATCATCTGATACCTCAGACTGCACAATTCAGGACCTTTATGACAATGCCAAAGTTTCCAGATGAGTCCACACTACA